TGGAGCCTAATCCGGAGCTAGGGCAGCTGTTGGATCTACAGGTGCTGCCCTCGCTGCTCTGCCTCTGCCACGACCACAACCACGTCCACGACCTCTGGTGGCCTCAGTGGGTGGCACTGGTGGTATTCCACCTCATCCGGTAGCTCGTGTCCTCACCATCTGTGCGAGAATGGAATAATAAAAGTTTAGTACTCGGACCAACAAGCTCGCACAACAAGAGTTTCAAGAATATGAAGATTTTCCTAAAAAGGTTCTGCAGCCTCTCAAGGATAAATACAGATGTCTTTGTACCGATCCGCGAGACTCTACTAAACTCTCTTATGACTCGTGAGACCTATGTAACCTAGTCACTGATACCAACTTGTCACGACCCCATTCCCCGAACCTGCTCGTGATGGCGCCTCTCGTGAAGACAAGGCCAGCCAGACCAAAATAGACCACCTCTTTTAAATAGTTAAATACCATAAGTAGTTCTAAAACATGATATAATAACCATAATTTGAGGAATTAACGATAACAACAGTAGAAACCATCCCGACACAGCCCAAACTGGGGTGTCACAAGTCATGAGCAACTAAGAAATCCGGATACAAGTCTACTGAACACTAAATCCGATACAATAGTTCTAAAAATATGAAAATGATAAGATAAGGGAGGCACGGGGCTGCGAATGCCAACATCTACCTCGTAGTCTCTGAATCACTGCCTAGACTGGGAAAATCAGCACTCAAGAGCGGACTCTGCGATGCCTGGATCTGCACACATGGTGCAGGGAGTAATGTGAGTACTCCGACTCAGTGAGTAATAATTATAAATAATGGCTGAAAGTATGAAAACAATCAAGCAGTAAAATCACTTAAAGTAGTAAATCAGTGAAGAAATCAAATGATATCCCTTTTTAAAACAAGTAAAACATGTAGTTTAACAGGTAAATAACAAGTAGATATACGCCCCTCGGGCACAGTATCAATCGCTCAGAACAGTATCAGCCCCTCGGGCTCACTCTCAGTATAGTATCAGCCCCTCGGGCTCAGTATCAATCACTCAGAACAGTATCAGTCCCTCGGGCTCACTCTCAGATCATAATGGGTACTCGCGCTCACTGTGGGGGTGCAGATTCCAGAGGGGCCCCTTATGGCCCAAGCACTATATCAAGCCACCTCGTGGTATCATCACTCGGCACTCGGCCTCACATCACTTAACATATCCTCATATATGACCCTCGGCCTCACTCAGTCTGAAAACCATCACAAGCCCCTCGGGCATTAGTAAAATAGTAGTTCTCAGCCCAAAGCATCATTTAGAAATATCATATAAGTTTTCAAATCTGAGTAAAAGTGGCTAAGTTTGCAAAACAGTAGACATCAACAGGACTGAGTTCAATATAAGTCAAAGCAGTGAGGAAATAGTGATAAAAATCACCGAAGGGTTCAAATAGTTGGCACGAAACCCAAATATGGCAATCAACTCAAATCGTGATGATAACAAATAAATTTCAGTCAAATACGCGGTAAAATCATCAATAGGGACGGACCAAGTCACAATCCCCTGTAGTAAAAGACCTCACGCTCATCATCCAGCGCGTGTCTCACCTCAATATAGCACTATGATGTGCAATCAGGGGTTTCAAACCCTCAGGACATCATTTACAACCATTACTCACCTCGAATCGGCTAATTCTCTAGCTCGCAACGCCTTTGCCCCTCGAATTGGCCTCCACGCGCGTCGAATCTATCCAAAATCAGAACAAATACATCACAATATGCTAAGGGAACAAAGCCCAAGCGAAAACATTCGAAAAATATCAAAAATCCCGAAATTAGCAAAACCCGAGCTCTGGTACCACATCTCGGAATCGGGTAAAATTTACATTTTCAGAATCCTCATACCCTCACGAGTCTAACCATACCAAAATTATCCAATTCTGATACTATTTGGTCTTTCAAATCATCATTTTATATTTTTGAAAAGTTTCACAATTTTCTTCCCAAATTCCATCCCAAATCATGAATTAAATGATGAATTCAATGATAGATTCATGAACTCTAGCCAAATCTGAGTTAGAATCACTTACCCCCATGAATTTCTTGAAAAATCTTCAAAAATCGCCAAAATCCGAGCTCTCTAGGTCAAAATATTAAAGAAAATCCAAAACCTCTTATTTATAGAGTACCCCTCAGATCTCAGCCTTCGCGGTCCGCACAGAACCACCGCGGTACGCACAAAACCACCGCGGCCCGCACAACACCACCGCGGCCACACTTCATTTTGGGTAGTCCGCACAGCATATACCGTGGCCGCACTTCCTTTTGTGCGGTCTGCGCGGGTGGGTTCCGAGGCCTGCAACCCTTCTGGACCTACTATAGCTATGATTTTGGCCTAAAACATCCCGGAACTCCTGGAATTCCAAACCAATTGCACCAACACATCCTATGACGTCGTTCAAACTTGTTCAAAGCCTCAGGACGCTCACAACAACATCAAATCACTAATTTAACAGGGGATTCAAGCCTAAGAACTCCAAGAACTCTTAAATTATGCTTTCGATCAAAAAGTCTATCAAATCTCGTCCGAATGACCTAATCTTTTGCACACACATCCCAAATGATACAATGAATCTATTGTCACTCTCGGAATCTCATCCGACCCCTATATCAACATCTCGCCTATCAACTGGAATTGCCAAAATATCAACTTTGTCAATTTAAGCCTAAATCTTCTCTACAACTCCAAAACTCATTCCAATCGCGATCCTAAGTCAAAACTCACCTCCCAATGCTAATCGAACCATCGAAACTCACTTCCGAGCCTTATAACACATAAGTCAACATCCAGTTGACTTTTCCAACTTAAGCCTTCTTAAAAGAGACTAAGTGTCTCATTTCTTATCAAATCCTCTCCGAACTCAAACTAATCAACCCGATCACATAAAACCCGGATAACGAACGTAAAGAAGCTAAAATAGGGGAAAACAGAGTGGTAACTCATGAGACGATTGGCAAGGTCATCACAGAACTTGTAAACACTCGGCGTACTAAACTAACGCTAGAAAGGCCCGATGAAAGTGGCTCGGGGACTGACCCCACAATTATGAGAATGCTCGAGGAGCTTACCAAGAGAATCAAGTCTAGAGAAAAGAAAATTGAAGACAATGACAAAAAGGTGGAGACTTACAACTTCCGTGTTGATCAGATACTGAGGGCACCTCCGGTCTTGAAAGGTTTAGATGCCAAAAAGTTCATACAAAAACAATTTCCCCCGAGTGCGGCTCCGATGCTCATTCCCAAGAAGTTTCGCATTCCCGATATACCCAAATATAATGGGACAACCGACCCTAATGAGCATATTACTTCATACACTTGTGGGATCAAAGAAAATGACTTGAATAACGATGAAATCGAGTCAGTTTTGTTTAAAATGTTTGGGGAAACACTATCAAAAGGAGCTATGATTTGGTATCACAACATAGCTCCTAACTCTATTGATTCATTTGCTATGTTAGCAGACGCCTTCGTGAAAGCACACACTCGGGCTATAAAGGTAGCCGCGAGAAAATCGGACGTTTTCAAGATAAAGCAAAGGAACGACAAGATTTTAAGGGAATTCGTATCTAGGTTCCAAATGGAGCGAATGGAGTTATCACCGGTCTCGAATGACTGGGCAGTACAAGCTTTCATGCAGGGTTTGAATGAAAGGATCTCAATTGCATCTCGAAAACTAAAGCAGGACTTGATCGAATATCCAGTTGTGACATGGTCGGATGTGCACAATCGTTACCAGTCAAAAATCAGGGTCGAGGATGACCAGTTGGGAGCCCCCTCGGGTTCAGTTCATCCTAACAGATTCGCAACCAAGCCCCCGAGGGACACAGACCAAGAATCGAGATTCAACAAAGAAAGGTATCAGCCATATGTCGATCGAAGAAATAGCGGCCCGAGCCATAACTCTCCTCGGAGTGATCGGAGAAACGATCGAGGTCAAAGTTCTCGGGGACACATGAATAAGAGCGGGTTCGATAAACATACTGACCCTACAGAGTTTCCTCGATTATCAGAATGCAACTTTAGCATAGATGCGTCGGGGATTGTCTCAACTATTGGAAGAATCAAAGATACCAAGTGGCCCAGGCTTATACAAACTGATCCTTTTCAAAGAAACCCGAACTTGATGTGCAAGTATCATGGCACACATGGTCATCGAACAGAAGATTGCAGACAGCTAAGGGAAGAAGTGGCTCGTTTGTTCAACGAGGGCTACCTTCAAGAATTCCTAAGTGATCGGGCTAAGAATCACTTCAGGGAGAGAGATGCAAGGAAAAATGAACAAGAAGAACCAAAGCATGTAATCCACCTGATCATTGGCGGAGCCAATGTCCCTCAACGACCTATATTCAAATGCACCAAAGTATCAATCACCAGAGAAAAATGGACTCAAAGCTATATGCCCGAGCACGTCTTATCATTCTGTGACGAGGAAGCAGAGGGCATATCTCAGCCTCACAACGATGCACTGGTAATCTCTATCCTTTTAAATAAAATTCAAGTTAAAAGTGTTTTAGTGGATCCAGGTAGCTCTGCAAATATAATCAGATCGAGGGTCGTAGAACAACTCAACCTACAAGATCAGATTGTACCTGCATCCCGGGTCCTAAATGACTTCAACATGGCAAGCGAAACAACAAAGGGAGAGATTATCCTACCAGTAAACGTAGCCGGGACCACACAAGATACAAAGTTCCATGCATCGAAGGTGACATGAGGTACAACACGCTCCTCAGGAGACCATGGATATACAACATGAGGGTAGTACCTTCAACTTCTCATTAGATGATGAAGTTCCCAACATATGAAGGGGTGAAAACAATCTATAGAGAGCAACATGCTGTAAAGGAGATGCTTGCGATCGAGGAAGTAGTGCTGATACCAGAGCCTTTGACCTTAGGGAAATCGAGCACCAGGGGTAAACATGTAGCCAAATAGCTATCACGGCCTCCATCCTCGATGGAATCGGAGCAACAGGTAATCGAAGACGAAGATGAGGATTTCCTTACTCCTCGAACCTTTGTCGTTCCCGAAGAATCCGATGCAACCAAATCAACTATCGAGGAGCTGGATCAGGTCATTTTGATCAAATATATGCCCGAGAAAAAGGTATACCTGGGAACAGGATTGAACCCCAAACTCAGGAAAAAACTCATTTAATTTTTTATTGATAATATGGATTGTTTTGCTTGGTCCCACTTAGATATAATAGGTATTCCAGCGGGAATCACCACGCATCAGCTTAGCACCAATCCCAGGTTCAGACCAGTGAAGCAAAAAAGGAGGCCTCAATCCGAGGTAAAGCATGTTTTCATAAAGGACGAGGTAACCAAAATTCTTAAAATAGGATCTATATGGGAGGTAAAGTACCCCGAGTGTTTAGCTAATGTAGTTGTAGTTCCTAAAAAAGGAAACAAACTTAGAATGTGTATAGACTATAAGGACTTGGACAAAACATGTCCAAAGGATTCTTTCCCACTGCCCAACATCGATTATATGATCGATGCCATGGTCGGCCACGAGATCCTAACTTTTCTCGATGTCTATTTCGGGTACAATTAGATTCAGATGAACCCGGAGGACCAGGAAAAGACTTCGGTTATTACTAAATTTGGGTCTTATTTTTACAAAGTAATGCCCTTCGGGCTAAAAAAATGCAAGAGCTACATACCAACGCCTAGTTAACAAAATGTTTGAAGAACAAATAGGTAAAATAATGGAAGTTTACATTGATGATATGTTGGTTAAGTCACTGCGCGCAGAGGACCATTTGACTCATTTTCAAGAAAGATTCAAAATCTTGAGAAAATACAATATGAAGCTCAACCCGAAGAAATGTTCCTTCGGAGTCGGCTCGGATAAGTTCCTCGGCTTCGTGGTGTCAAATCAGGGTATAAAAATCAATCCCAATAAGATTAAGGCTATCTAGGATATCACGATCGTGGATAGTGTAAAGGTCGTGCAAAGGCTAACAAGGCAAATAACTGCCTTGGGTCGATTCATTTCGAGGTCGTCGAATCGGAGTTACCGGTTCTTTTCCTTGCTCAAAAAGAAAAAGGATTTCGCATGGACCCCGAAATGTCATCAAGCCTTAGAAGAACTAAAGTGATATCTATTGAGCCCGCCTATGCTTCACAACCTGAAGGTAGATGAAAAACTCTACCAATATTTGGCAGTATCCGAGATAGCAGTAAGTGGCGTAATAGTCCGAGAAGAGCAAAGTACGCAATTCCCTATTTATTATGTAAGTCTAACTCTGGGAGATGCTGAAACTAGATATCCTCACTTATAAAAATTAGCACTTGCATTAATCAGCGCATCAAGAAAGTTAAAGCCATATTTTCAATGTCATCCCATATGTGTATTAACCACTTATCCCTTCGAAATGTTTTGAATAAGCACGAGCTATCGGGCTGCCAAATGGGCCATTGGACTTAGCGTGTACGATATCGAATATCAACCCCGAACGGCCATCAAGTCTCAAATCCTATCTGACTTCTTGGCCAATTTTATGCCGACCCTCGTACCCGAAGTGGAAAAAGAACTGCTAAGCTCAGGTACAATATCGTGGCTGTGGACCCTTTTCACAGATGGTGCCTCAAATGTGAAGGGGTTTGGGCTTGCCATTGTCTTGAATCCACCCACGGGTGATGCCATTAGGAAATCTATCAAAACTCCAAGATTAACTAACAATAAGGTCGAGTATAAGACCATGATTTCATGTTTTGAGCTAGCTAAAAGCTTAGGAGCAGAAGTCATCGAGGCCAAATGTGATTCTCTATTTATGGTAAACCAAGTGAACAAAAGTTTCGAGGTTCGAGAGGATAGAATGCAAAAGTACTTGGACAAGCTACAGATAACTTTGCACCACTTCAAGGAGTGGACTCTGGATCATGTGCCTCAAGAACAAAATAGCAAGGCTGACGCACTTGCTAATCTGGGATCCTCGGTCGAAGAAGATGACATTTTCCCTGGGACTGTCGTCCAATTATCAAGGTTTGTGGTCGAAGAGTTTCATGCCGAGATAAATTCAACTAGTTTAACATGGGACTGGAGGAATAAGTATATCGACTATTTGAAGAGTGGAAAACTCCCATCGGACCACAAAGAATCAAGGGCCCTACGAGCCAAGGTTGCTAGGTTTGCATTAGATGAAGATGGAACATTGTACCGAAGAACATTCGATGGACCATAGGCGGTATGCTTAGGTCCAGGAGACACCGATTATGTTCTATGAGAAATCCACGAAGGCACTTATGGGAACCATTCCGGTGCCAAATCTTTGGTCCGCAAAATTATCAGGGCAGGTTACCACTGGGATAGCACGGAAAAAGATACTAAGAAATTTGTCAAAAAATGTGATAAGTGTCAACAATTTGCACCAATGATCCATTAACATGGGGAACAACTCTATTTGGTCATATCCCTATGGCCTTTCATGAAACGGGAAATGGATATAGTTGGCCCTCTACCAACGGCCCCAAGTAAGGCTAAATACATTTTGTTTATGACTGATTATTTTTCTAAGTGGGTGGAAGCACAAGCCTTCGAGAAGGTCCGAGAAAAAGAAGTTATTGAAGTTATCTGGGACCACATCATATGTCGATTCGGGATACTCGCCGAGATTGTATGTGACAATGGAAAACAATTCATCGGCGGCAAGGTGACGGAGTTTCTCGAGGCACACAAAATAAAGAGGATTTTGTCAACATCATACAACCCAACTGGAAATGGGAAAGCCGAGTCAACAAACAAAACTATCATTCACAACCTGAAGAAACAGTTTGACGATGCAAAGGGGAAATGGAGGGAAGTTCTACCCGAGGTCCTTTGGGCATATTGGACAACATCGAAGACTAGCATGGGGGCCACTCTGTTTTCTCTAGTATATGGCTCTGAGTCCCTCTTCCCCATCAAGGTCGGAGAACCCAGCTTCAGGTTTCAACATGCATCGAAGGAGACAAATCACGAGGCCATGAATACTAACCTCGAGTTAATAGATGAAAAGCGAGAAGCAATGCTTGATCGGATGGTCATGCAGAAGCAAAGGATCGAAAGATACTATAATAGAAGGACCAACCTTCGGCACTTTGGAATCAGGGACTTAGTCCTACGGAAAGTCATCCTCAATACTCGAGACCCAAATAAAGGAAAACTGGGCCAAAATTAGGAAGGACCGTACCAAGTCCTCGGAGTTGTTGGTAAGGGATCTTACAAACATAGCACAATGGAAGGTGAACAACTGCCAAACACTTGGAACGTATCACTACTCAAACGATACTACTGCTAAGGTATGACTTTGTCCTTTTGACTATTTGAGTTTTACACTAACTTATTACAGATTTTCGATCGAAGCTATCAAAGGCACATGGTCTAGAAGACACCCTTTTTACACGAAGACCTTAGGTTTTAAAGCATGCATTGCACTCTTTTTCCCTTAGATCGGATTTTGTCCCAAATGGGTTTTACCGGCAAGGTTTTTAACGAGACAACAACTATGTGCTACCTAAGGAGAACTCAACAGTATCCAAGGCTTCTTTTCAATCAACCTCGAATACTGGGGGGCATCACCCTCGTAGGTTATATTTTCAAGAAAATACTCTACTTAATGCCAAAGAGGGCCTCGATAGGAGAACTTTGTAATGGGCCAAACGGTCAGATGAACCGTGTCCATATAAAATAATCGAGCCCCGGCGACAAAACATGTACGCATGTATCAATTATTTGAAGAAGCATTCTGGTTATATCAAAAACACTTTGCATCTCAAAGAACTTTACTATTATATGAGCTCTACACTTACAATCCTACGGGAAGCTGCTAAAGAGCCAAAACTCAAATGCACCCCGAAATACTCGGGGACTTTCATCGACATTCAACACATCTGAGTCATCGAAAACTCGGACTCGTAAGCCCTCAAAGAGGCATCCCCTCGAAACAAAGGCTAAGGCCAATATGCTCGGGGACTAACTTTTCGGACAAGATCGAAAGGTTATTGGGAAACAAGTCCAAGCGACATACCTGAATGCTACGACCATATTAAAGACTACGGTCATGTAAAACGGCTACGGCCAAAATAATGCGGCTCAGAGACATCCGACTTCCACTATAAATTAAAGGCCTTCAAACATTGAAAAATCGGTTAAATCAGGCTACCCTCTCCAAAACCAAAATATTAATTGCTTCGATAAATTCAGCCCTCGAATAATCTAAGGGCTTCGATAAATTCAGCCCTGGAACAATCTAAGGGCTTCGATAAATTCAGCCCTGGAACAATCTAAGGGCTTCGATAACATCAACCTTCGAAAAAACCTCAAGAGGTATTCGATTATGTTTACACAAATGAATTATTAATAAAGGTTCCAATTCATCGAACCCTCGAAAAACCCAACGGGTACAAAAAAAATACATGACAAGGCATACAAAATTTTTACTAAGTCTTTTAATCGAAAAGAGGGAAAAATTATATAGCCGTTCTAGAGGCCGAATTGGCCCAACTAAAAGAGCCTAAGAGCCGGACTAAAAGAGCGTAAGGGCCATAATATATAGAGTTCGAGACCCCATTCTCACTCAACTTGGACTCACGAGTCCCTTTATTCCAAGCTCACATTGAATTGATATAAGCTTAGCTCGAGAATTAGCGAAACCTTAAGGGATATTATATTGATCAATAAAAGCCTAAAGGTTTATTATGTTCTGAGTCTGAATCAATACTCGGACTGATTGTTTGAATTATCGGGATCATCCAGTAATGAGAACAAAATAAAATTCAGCACAAGTTAATGATAGAGCAAAAAGATACTTTATATTCATAAGGGTTTTACAAAACATATTTACAATGCCCACAGGGGGCCCTTGCACATAAAAGAAAAAAGAACCTAATCTATTTTCGGGGGTGCCAACCTCAAGAAATGCACCTTCGCCAGCCTATCATAGGGAACTCTATTTTTGGGAGCCCACTCTCCCTCGGGAACATCTGCTTCACCTTCCCCATCCCCGGAGCCACTCGTAACATCCTCATCATCGGAAGAGACAAGAAACCTGGCATCGGTTTCCCGTTCCTTTGCTTCGGCTATCTCCTCGGCAAGGTCGAATCCTCGGGAGTGGATCTCTTCGAGAGTCTCCCTCCGGGCTTGGCACTTAGCCAGATCATTGACCCGTTTTTCCCCGTCGAAGGCCTCCCTCAACTCATCTTGAACGGCCGCAGTGTCCCTTAAGTATACGGCGATGGTTTTATCAGTCGTAGCCTTTGTCTTCTCAGCTTCAGCCTTAGCCTGTATAGCTTCGGCCAGATCTCTAGCGAGCTCTGCCTCTAACTCCTCAATTTTTTTGGCCTAGGCCAGACCCTTCGCATTAACGCCTCAGAGTTGAGTTTTAGCTAAGGATCGTTGGGCTGCAACGGTTTCTTTATCGGCAGCAAGCTGATCCATGATCTCCTTCCATCGATGGCAATCAGCTTTGACTGGATCGACCTCGCCTTGGAGCTTCCCAATCAACTCTAACTTTTGTTGCAGCTGAGATATCGAAGTGTTAGCCTCCGAAGTAGGTCCAAGAAGTCCATACTCTGTTAAAATCACAGTTACCTACTCATCTATCTCGGACTCATTTTTTCGAGCTTTGGCCAATTCAGCTTGGAGGTCCTTAAGCTCCTCTTCCTTTTGGCTACAGAGGAGCCTTAACTTTGCCCAAAACTTTCTTGAGCTCAGCCTCATATTGGCTCAGCTCAGGTCTAAACTTAACGATTGCCTATACATGAAATGAAGATATATTAGTCAAAGGAAAAGAAAGAAGGAGAAAATTACAACAATGAAAGTAAGTGTCACACCTCCTTTTTCACCTACACCCCGGAAAGGGTATAATAAAGGGAGTTTTTCTAATTTAAGTGACAATCGAAATGAGATTATTTTAATTAAAATTAAGAGTCTCCACTTGGGATAATTAATGGTGTCCCAAGTCACCGGTTCAAATCCCGAATCGAGGAAAAGATTGACTCTGTATTACAGTCTGCGAACACAGAAATCCGGGTAAGGAATTCTGTTAACCCGGGAGAAGGTGTTAGGCATTCCCGAGTTCCGTGATTCTAGCACGGTCGCTCAACTATTATAATTGGCCTATTATCTGATTTTAGTACATGTTTAAACCTGTGTGAAAATTTTAACTTAAACCGCTTTTCTTTATTTAATTTTTTAAGAAAAATTCAACGTCATCTAAAACACGTCTTGAACCCCGTCACATAAATGCACACGCGGTCTGTGACGTATTTTATCCAACATTGTTGAGATTTATATTTGGGTCACATAAATGCGCAACCAAGTTTAGGAAGATAAATTATTAAAATAACGTNATATCGTGAGAATATTCATAGGATTTAATAATATGAAAAATGGCCATTTCACAAGTAGATATACAATACAGCACATCATTCAGGCATCTTAAAAGTTAACTGCTAATATAATAAATAAAGGCACTAATTTGACAACTACATACAACGCATCGTTAAAACATATCTAAAGGATACAATAATATAAATAGCAATACTTTTCAACTTTAGCTAACAATTTCCATAGCTTTTGTTATTTACTTTCTAAATAATGAGTTTTAAATTCAAAGGAAAATCATATACTTCTTCAGCAACCTTCAAATAAATCAAAAGGCCTTCAACTTAAACTCACGTTTCCAACTAACCAAAGATAATAAAATATTTTACGTCAAACAAATACAGGGATGCAAAATCGACAATAACCAAACTAGCTGAGAAGATCAACACTGATACAGTAGTATTATCAAAGTACTAGAAAATAGGAGCTGACCTTATCTTCCAAATTAAAACAAAACAACAACGGCAAAGTCAAACAGGAACCGCAAGCAAAATCGAGACCTCGAACCGGA